TATGTTTTGACTTGTTCTGGTATAATTTTGTCTCATCGTTTTCCATCTTATAACTGGGAGATGGCCTTTAAATTATGTTGCATATGCATTTTGCCCATAACTCACAGAGGCGCTTTACGTGTTACAGCGAGTTTGTGCCTCAAAATTGAAACTCTTGAAAAAAGGAGCTGAAAGACATTTGGTGTTGAGGGTATGACGCCACCCCCCACAAAATTCACTGCCTGCGTCAGGGCTGCGAAGTCTATGCCTTTTCGACGCTCCCAATGCCGACCCCGACTCTGGTTAAAAAAAACAGCTTCAACTCCAACTCCGGGCTCCGACTGTCGACTCCGATCAAATCCAACTCCGACTCAGACTCGGCAGACTCTGAATGGCTGCGAAGTTGATGGATTTTCGGTGTTTTTTTTTTTCGACGGAAAATGACCTCAATAAAAATTGTTAACCTTGTCCGTGTCTACCAGATGCCGTTTGCCCCTTGTTGTGTAACCGCTGCCCCTGCCCTGTATCTCAGGGGGCGGGGGGGGGGGGATATCCGGACCCCCGTCGGTGCGTGGACCCCTGTGGGTTCGCGGGTTAAGTGTTGCGGAGATCATTGATTTGATACTTATCGATGGTCTTGAGATGTCCCCCCCCCCCTCCACCTTGAATTCCACTAGAAGACTAGAAGTTTTTACTCGCCTGGTAGACGTGACTAAATAAGTAGGTCCGTGGCGCCGTGTCTCACTCTCTGCTCAGCCTATGGCTGTGACTGTGCCTTACTCTGTGTTCATTGACCATGTGATCGTGACCGTACCGAACCGTGCTCGGTGCCTGCCCTTTCGCCCGTTATTACTCACACCATGAACCTGCGGTGGAAGCGGCGCCCCGCTTGCAGGCGGCCGCACTGCGGGCTCGGGTCGTTGCCGTTGGCCACGCCGCGCTCGAACTCTGCCTTGTTGCAGCAGAAGGCCCAGTCGCGCGACGGCCGACAGCAGTAGGCGCCGCCCACCACCGGCGAGGAGGCCGTGCCGTTCTCCACCTCGTGAAACTGGGAGCAGAGAAACACCTGCGGCCCCAGCTGCTCGTCCCGGTAGCAGCAGTGGCTCACAGCCGCGTGCAGGGTCTGGCCGCGCCTCCGGCCTCGGCGCCCGCCGCGATCGGCGGACATCGCCGGCACGCCGCCACTCGGGTCCGGTCCGGTCCGGTCCGGGGTCTGTCCGGCCTGTCCGGGGAGCCGCGGGCGCGACCAGCAGCGGCTGCCGACCGGCTGCCTAGCGCCGCGTCCAGTACCACGCCGCTGTGTATTCGCGCATGATCACACGGCTGGAGAGACGGCTGTAGCTAGGTGGTCATATAACGGGGCTGAGTCCGCAGCCTTCCGCTGGTGGCTGGCCGTCCTCAATCTGCCGTCCTCTGGCGCGGCGCGGCGACCGGCGACCCCGTTTCGGCGCGGGCCGCTACGGTTCACGGTCACAGTGTGAGAGCGACTGGCTGGGCCGGCGGCGGCTGGTCGGCTGGTCGGCCGGCCCAGCCACTGTCACGGCAACAGGATAAACAGCCGGCGCGCTGCCGCCGTATTGACCGGGCGCCCCTTTTGAGGCACAGGCGCTGGGACAGGGGCCAGCCGGGATCCACTGTTCGCAAGGCCACCCCACCGCTCACCGCCTAGCACGTGCACCTCGCATTCTAGCGCGATCATTTGTCCTACTTTTTTAGCGTTCCTCTAGCTCGACACATTTGCCAATCTTCATTTTGCTAGGGTAGTCTCGCCGGCATTACACCTCACTTCGGGGTTCTGCACCATCTGACAGCATCTGGGGTCCTTCAGAAGGTGGCGCGGCCGCCCTAGCGCTCGGCTCCTAATTTTCAGGGCTCATTATTTGCATAGTTGTTCATGAACAGTTTGTGAGCAACGTTCGTTCCCTCTTCGAGAAAACATCAAATGACATACTGTTCCTCAAAAGACGAAACCTGATTCTTAGGCCTGATGCTGTTTTGTGACATCTAAGTCAGGACAACGACGAAAAATCGCGTTTTTGCTTACGATTAATAAATAGCTTCGGAAAAACGGTCACAAAAAAGTATAATCGTTCAACACATTGACCTTGTCAGGATGCGTTGGGTGGATAAACTTCAGCTGAGAGAAATTCAAGGTCATAAAACTAGAAACCCTGGGCCTCAGATGGTGTTAAGCATTAGGGTGTGTCATTTTGGGCACTTTTTTCGCAAAACATGGTGCTCCACTGATTTTATCGTGCCCCAGACACGTAGAAACCGTGTGACATTTTTTATTTCCCCCAAATATTAACACCCATGCGGCGCCGACCGCCGACACTTTGGTCTATCTCTCAGCATTAGCGACCTCAGCGCCCCTAGCGGCAATGTTTTGAACTAACACGCTCGCTATGCTTTGTGAGCTTACGATCATCATTAAATGCATTTTACCGAAATGACGCCTTGCTGTTGGCTTGTCTGGCACTCAGAATGTTGGTGAAAATGTGATGTTATGCATCTTAAAGCACGAAATAGTTCTGTGTTAATGTATATTGCATAGTACTACCCCCGATCCTCGTCCTGGTCTGACGGGATGCGTACGAGCGCATGTTTATAGTGCCTGCTATAAGGTGTCACACGTTTTTTTTTGTAGCGTCGTTCACTGCATAGACTCCGGGGAACAGGGGGGGGGCGGTGGGGGCGCTTACCCCCCCCCCCAACTTGAGAGCCGAGTGGGCGCCGCCCCCTCAACATTGATGCAACGATGAAGGATCTCTGCTCCCTTTTATGGACCTACATGTCTGTTTTTATATAAACATCAGCACAAGGTATTTCTCTTGCATGTGAATGGTTTCTGCTGATTCGGCATCGATTTAAGAACACCTGCTATTGTCATCCCACTTTGATTTTATCTGAACTTGATCATAACTTTGGTAGGTCAGATTTTATACTGGACCATTTTGGTTCCAGATGGTATTTGATTTGGCGTGATGAGAACATTATGACGTACAACGGTGGTAAAGTCGTTGATTGATACAGGTTTACTCGCTCCGGTGGGAGGCAGTAGCGGCGGAACACCTTCAATTAAGTGGAGGGGGGGGGGACACTGCCGACTTTTGGTCCCATTCTTTCCATGCAACGCCCATAGGGCTAATGTTAAAATGCCCAAATCAGAGGGGGCACGGTGCCCCGGTGCCCTCCCCGTTCCGCCGCCTATGGTGGGAGGGAGGCGTGTGGGACTCAGAAGGAGACCAATGGCTTGTGTTGTGCCTTTGGTAGGACCCTCAGTATATATCACCGATGCAGGGCCTTCAGAGCCTCCAATTAGGGGCCTTTAGAGGCACTGGTGTGGGGTCCTCACAGACGCCCGTGTGGCCCCTCAGAGGTGCTAGTGTGAATCCCTCATAAGCGCCGGTGAGGGTCCTCACAGAATACAGACGCCGTTGTGGACCCTCAGAGACACTGGTGTGGGTCCGTTACATGTGGGTGTGTGGTCCTTAGAGCTGCTGGTGCGAACCCTTTAAAAGTCGGCAGGGGGCCCACAACGACCGGGGAGGGGGACCTCAGACCGGCAAGGGGCCCACAGAGGCCGGCGGCATTTTCAGAAGCCCTGTGGGGTCCTTAGATACCGACAAGGTACTCTGAGACGCCAGTGCGGCCCTCAGTCTCTGGTGTAGGGCCCTCAGAGTTGCAGGTAGGTGGCCGTCAGATATGCTTTTGCCGAACCCTCACAGGGGCGCAGGTGTGGGTACCTCAGAGCCACCAATAAAGGGTTGCATAAATGGTGTGGCACTGGCTTGGGGGACCCTCAGTGGTGTCCTTATGGGCCCTTAGAACCACTGGTGTGGGTCTCTCAGAGGTGCTGGTTGTGAACCCTCAGAGGCCCTGCTGAGGGCCCTCACGGTCTCCGTTATGGGATCCTCAGAAGCCGGCGTAGACCCTGACGGAGATCTTAGTGTGGCTACTTAGGGGCTCATGAGGTGCTCTTACGAGACCTGTGAGGTCTTTCTCAGCTGAAATATAGTCAGCGCGGACCCTCAGAGGTCAGTTGGTACCGCAGGGGTCTTTATGGCCGGGTGGGCTCTCAGAAGCACCAGTGAGGGCCCTCAGTCTCACAGTCGTCGTAATGGGGCCGTCAGAGACATTGGTGTGAGGCCATTACTGATTACAGGTTGGCGTAAGGCCCTAGATATGGCCCCTCTTGGGCCGGCAAGGACTCTCAGAGGCACGCTAGCGGCCATAAGAGGCCGGTAAAGGGCCCTCAGAGGCCGCCAGTAGCCTTCAGAAGCCGGCGTGTAACCCTCATGGACAATTTAGTGAGGCTTCTTTGGACTCACGAGGTGCTGTTACGAGCCCTATTCTTTCTGAATCGAAATATGGCCAGCATAGACCCTGAGCGGTAACTGGTGCCACAGAGCCCCTCCGACCCGAGGGGTCCTCTGAATGCGATAGGGGGGGGGGGGGACTAGATGGCACGTGCCTCCTGGTACCCCCTGACTACGCTACTATTTCATATGCGTCATGTCAGGTATTTTGGGCTTGCACCCCAACTTGAAGAATGTTCCTGGGCCCCTGTGACAATATATTGGATTCATTATAGGTATTCGTCATTAGCTTGCACTCTCTGCAATCTGCCCATACTATTATTTGTCCCTAGACGCGCTTACAGAGAGCAGGGATAAGCCCATACAGTCAACGGCCTGTTAGTTTCGCAAACAGCCGCCAGGGGCGCTAGGGTCGCCTATGTTGTGAGATAGGGCAAACTTCTCTCGCTCGGCGCCGCCTGGGGGTTAAAATTTGCGGGAAATTAACAATGCCACGCCCTTTCCACATGAGTGGAGCACAATAAAATCGATGGAGCACCTTGCATTGCGATTAGTGACACACCCTATTAAGCATTGAAGCTAATACACAGCCGATCATTTGTGACATATTCGTAAATGTTGATTCCGAATCTGGCATCCATTTTGATCTAGACAATTATCTACTGGTCGGTCAAAGTGAGGAAATTAGCGTGTTTATTGGCTACACAAGCAGTGTCTGTCGACAAGTAATTATATTCCCGATGGGACTGTTACGGGTAGACGACAACCGATGTTGTTTTATCACATGATAAATAGGTGTCAACGAAGAATATAAACTCTTACTCATCTCACCGAAACAGCAGCACAGATACCGACATCCTCACTGTAGCATTAACATATAAGCCGACATCCTCACTTTGACAATAAAACACTGCTGACATTCTCACTGTGTCAATAGCGTACTGTTGACAGCCTCATAACAGAAACATACTGTTAACTAGTAACATCCTCACTGTAACAATAACATGCTGCCGACAGCGAGAATATTGTGACAACGCATTGCAAGCTTTCACACTGCAACAACTCCTTGACAAAAGTGATAACATGTCACGGCACACTCTCGGCATCTAACTGTGGCCATAGCATACTGCCGCGACATTCTCAGCGTGACCCTACTACACGACCCACTTCCGTCAAACGCAGGCACACCTCAGCTCCGGGGGTCGAGATCGCATCGCATTTCACTTCCGCTAGCCGCGATCACATTTTCCTGTGTTTTTATTACAGGGCCGGGTCACAATCACAGTCCCTTCAGTCGTCACGGTCCGCCAGTCAGAGTCCGTCACAGGCCAATCACAGTTAAAGTCCGTCACAGAGCCCGTCACAGTCCACCAGTCCGTCAGGGGCTGGTCTATCACAATGTGTCACAGTGCCAGTTCGTCACAGGGCCGGGCTGCGCGGCCGCAGCATGGTCGGCCGTCATCACCTGTGACGGCGCCGCATGGAGGCGCCTCCCAGCGCACCCACAGCGTCTCGTACGAGGCCGAGAGGTGGGCGAGGCGCGCCGCGTGTGCCAGCCGCAGTCCGTGTGCGCGCAGAGCGGTGAGCGTGCGCAGCGCCCGCCGCTGCTCGGCCGCCGGCGCTGCCTCGCCCAGCGGCAACGGCACGCTGAGCTGGAGCACCCTGTCGAGCGCGGCGCCGGCGGCCGACAGCTGCTGCTCCAGCACCGTGCCGGCCGCCGTGCCGTCCGACAGGCGCAGGTAGTGGATGGGCCGCTGCCCGTGTCCCAGCAGCGCCGTCACCTGCTCTAGTGTCATGAGCGCCAGCCGCCGGCCGTCGGCGGCGCGCCGGTGGCCGGCGCCGGCCGCCAGCTCCACCTGGTGCTGGCTGACGTTGGCCGGCAGCCGGTCGGCCGGCAGCAGTGCGCCGCCCAGCAGGTGCACCTCGCAGCCGGGCCAGCGCGCCAGCTCGACCTCCAGCGTCCGGCGGGCGCTGGGCGCGGCCGAGTAGACCAGGCACGGGCCGCGCGGCGGCAGCAGGTCCTGGTCGCGGCAGAGCGGCGGCTCGAGCAGCTGCAACTGGCCGCAGTGTGTCGACAGGCCGGCCTCGGACAGCGCGTCGGCCAGGCCGCTGCGCACCGCCGAGTGCGGCAGCCGCTCCACGAGCGCCGCCGCGCGCCACGGCGTGCACGGCTGGCACGGCGCCGCCGCCGCCCTGGCAGACAGACAGAGAGGCGTACTCGTCAGCCGTCATCTCTCCCGTCGGCCGTACCAGTACCCGTTCAGAATCATCCCACTAAAATCAGGGTTCTGGGTTATCGGAATCAGGGTTATATCGTTACAATCAGGGTTTAGCCTATTTAGGTACACTACATATATATTATAAGTGTACTGAGTAAGTATGTAGGTACTAACCTGGGTGAGTTTAACGGGGATATGCACATTGAGCAGTGCACACGAAAAGACACGGTAACCAAGCAGGCACTCAATTAGTACATATGTATTTCAATGACCATGGTGTCAAGAGCAAGTAGGTACATAGGTCAGTTCGGAATAATTCAGACTATACCCTACGAAGTCAGCACTGAGTGGACAGCCGGTGGCTCGGTAGCTGCTGTGAGCAGCTGTAGATCTGAGTAGCTCGGTAGCTGTGAGCAGCTGTAGATGTGAGTGGCTCGGTAGCTGTTAGCAGCTGTAGATGATACGGTCGTCAAGTTAGATGTAAGTGAATCCTAATCTATAATCTAAGATTCGGAATCAGGTGAGCCCCTACGATTTGGACCAAACTTGGTCAGTAGATAGAACGTAACGTCCTGATTACGATGCACCCAAAATCTAAGCTCGGCCCGCCATATTTACGAAGTTACGGATGTTTGAATTTCAAGGTCATTCGGGAGAGCCCCTACGATTTCCGTCAAAATTTTTATGGACACTCTAGATGCTCCTCATTACGAATATCACAAAATTTAAGCTCGGCCCGCCATATTTACAAAGTTACGGAGGTTTGAATTTCAAGGTCATTTGGGTGAGCCCCTGCGATTTCCGTCAAAATTGGTATACGGACATATTACATCCTCCTCATTACAAATACCATAAAAGTTAAGCTCGGCCCGCCATATTTTTCAAGTTACGGAGTCACAAAGTTACGGAATTTCAAGGTCATTCGGAGAGCCCCTCCGATTTTCGTCAAAATTTGTATGCGGACACATTACATGCTCCTCATTACGAATACCGTAAAAGCTAAGCTCGGCCCGCACTATTTCAAAAGTTAGAGATGTTTGAATTTCAGTGAGTTTCAAACGTCAGTAACTTTTGAAATAGTGCAGGCCGAGCTTAGCTTTTACGATATTCGTAATGAGGAGCATGTAATGTGTCCGCATACAAATTTTGACGAAAATCGGAGGGGCTCTCCGAATGACCTTGAAATTCCGTAACTTTGTGACTCCGTAACTTGAAAAATATGGCGGGCCGAGCTTAACTTTTATGATATTTGCAATGAGGAGGATGTAATATGTCCGTATACCAATTTTGACGGAAATCGCAGGGGCTCACCCAAATGACCTTGAAATTCAAACCTCCGTAACTTCGTAAATATGGCGGGCCGAGCTTAAATTTTGTGATATTCGTAATGAGGAGCATCTAGAGTGTCCGTACACAAATTTTGACGGAAATCGTAGGGGCTCTCCCGAATGACCTTGAAATTCAAACATCCGTAACTTCGTAAATATGGCGGGCCGAGCTTAGATTTTGGGTGCATCGTAATCAGGACGTTACGTACTATCTACTGACCAAGTTTGGTCCAAATCGTAGGGGCTCAACTGATTCCGAATCTTAGATTATAGATTAGGATTCACTTACATCTAACTTGACGACCGTGTAGATGATAGTGTCTCGGTAACTGTGAGCAGCTGTAGATGTGAGTGGCTCGGTTGTGAGCAGCTGTAGATGTGAGTGGTTCGGTAGCTGTGAGCAGCTGTAGATGTGAGTGGCTCGGTAGCTGTGATCATCTGCCTGTAGGTATACCTACCGTCCCTCGGCGGGCTGTCCGAGCGTCGCGTCCAGAGCCCACTCTGCGCGCCGGTGGTACACCGAGACCAGCAGCAGGCTCATCAGCGACACCAGCAGCAGCGCCGAGCGCTGCCGGGCCGCCTTCCGATAGGCCCACCACAGCGGCGGCACCACCATCTGCCGGCACAGCCAGCGGCGGCATTATAGAAGGGGCGGCACAGCCAGGGGCGGCGTTATAGAAGGGGCGGCACAGGAGCGGAGCCAGCGGCGGCATTATAGAAGGGGCGGCACAGGAGGGGAGCCAGGGGCGGCATTATAAAAGGGGCGGCACAGGAGGGGAGCCAGGGGCGGCGTTATAGAAGGGGCGGCACAGGAGGGGAGCCAGGGGCGGCATTATAGAATGGGCGGCACAGGAGGGGAGCCAGGGGCGGCATTATAAAAGGGGCGGCACAGGAGGGGAGTCAGGGGCGGCATTATAGAAGGGGCGGCACAGGAGGGGCGGCATTTTAGAAGGGGCGGCACAGGACGGGCGCCGCAGGTAGTGGAGAACAGGGAGTAAAGCGGCACCGATTAGGGTCGCGCCATGTTATAACTCGGCCAAAAGGCTGATTTTTAACATTTTGTTTTTTAGAATGGAGATGCTATTGCTGAGCATATTTATTAGTATGTATATAAGAACTATTTTTAAATGTAGCCTCATGCTTGTCATATATTAGTTAAGTTTTAAACGAAATAGACAGAGAGAATAATATTTCGACCTCGGGTCATCATCAGATTCGAATAGGAAAATCGAGCAGCCAGCCAAAGACGACGTACCAAGATCCAGATAGCAAAAATATGCGGTGCAACGTGCCTAATCAGATGGCCACGTTATGGAAAATACCTGTCAGTCGCGGGTTAATCAATTACATTAGGTTTTCCGTTTCCATCAATCTGTAAAAAAGGGTGTTTTAGCATGCAATACTTTAAAATAATAACATGAAATAAAGTGTCTAAATAGTTCCCAAGAGATATTGATGCTACTTCTCGCATTTTCAAATTACCTCTAAAAAAAAACTCCAGAATCCGGTATTTTTTCAAAAACCTCCAGGAGCCCCAAAACGCTCCCCTAAAACCTCTAGATCTGGAGGTTTACCTCTAAACCTGGCAACACTGCTGCACAGTATTTCCCCAGAAAACCTCTCAAGTTTCTCACAACAATCACAAAAATGTACCTCATCTCAACTGCCAATTATCAAAAATATTGTACCATACCTACCATAATAATATCATACGTTCCGTTGGTGACAAACACGCACTGGCGGCTTCATGTCACTTCATGAACTCGACAAACCACCCGCGTTGCTAGGCAACCGAAACAGCTGATGCGTACTTTTATCGCCCGCGTCCTCTTACCCGCCCTTACCCTACTGACAAACAGGCTCAGCCGAACTTGTTTTTCAGCCACCCACCAATGGGAATTTCCATGAAGCCAGTTCCTCGGAGCCAATTCCTCGGAGCCATGAAGAATCCTCTATATCTTAAGTTTTCAAAGAATATCATGCACCCGGCCAAGGCCTCGTGCTGTCGTGCATGAAACTCTTTGAAAACTCTAGAAAGGAATATTTCGTTTCCACGGCATCGTCCAGGAATATATAATCACTGATCAACTGGCAGCTGACTGCTGACTGTAGCTACTACGCTCGCTGAATACAACATTTGACGAGGTAGACATCCGAGAGATTATAAGACAATAAGTGGAACAATCGGCACTACGCGTTCGATCGCACTCCTTGAGTTATAATGAATTATTGACAAGTAAAGGCGTTTTAGGACCCGGTCAACGAAGAACGGGGAAGTGTCAACGAAGTCAACGAAGAAGTGTCGAGCGGGGGAAGTGAGCGCCGGCACAAGGGTAACCACTAACCAGCAAGCGAAAATACACAAAAAGCTCCCATAGGTATTGCCGCATGGTCATCGGCCGCAGACAAGCACTAAAGTCCAAGGAGCGGCGTGCAGCGTCCGACTCGTCGGCGTGGTCACCTTTGTCTCTGGGTGTCTCGGCGGCCTGTCTGACCGCCTGGCGACGAACGTGCAGCAGAGGGACGGCGCGCCAGCACAGCTCCCGAACACTGGCCGCTCACGGGCAGGACTGCGGTCCGCCGCGCCGCGCGCACGGCCACACCGTTACAGGACAGCCGAACGGCGCCGGCCACACCGCCACGGCACCGGTGCGAGCGACTAACGAGTGGCATTTGAGCGAGCGTCATTCGAGCGAATCGGTTTCAGTGACTGACATTTCAGTGCTTGTCTGTTCAAGCGATTAGGGGAGAGTGGGGTAAGATGCCCAGGGTGGGAAAGACGCCCCACCCCCTCTAGCGGCAAAACAAAGAATCGAACCTAGAAATTAACATTCTTGGCGTAAAGCGGAAGCCTGCCTTGCTAACTGCACCAAAATTTGCCAATGTCAGTCAGACAACGGTTGGCTGGTGATTGCATGTTTTATATTTGCTGCTTTCAAAAAATATTTTGGTGTTAAAACATTGTAAATATCAGCTAAATATAGCCCTCGAGACGGCCTCTGTGGGCCCTATTATTAACCCTCGCCGGACCTATTGGTTTTCCACATACACGCCGGCCGAGGGGGGGAGGGGTACGACCCCCCTCGCCGTTTCGCCCCTGGTGGAGCTAGCGCGACGCGGAAAAAACGAGCGTGTGCGCCGCTACGAGACGCAGAGATTGGTACCCGATTTTAAGGTCCTAGATCAACCAGTGACCTCTGAGGTCAGGTCAAGTGCCCCAAGGTACGGTTCAGTTTTTGGTGAATAACTTCGCAAAAAACGGCCGCAGAGCGCCGATTTTGGCAGCATCGTGTTCGCCTCGCTCAGGCGCGTCGAATGATATACTTTTTGTCCGGGTCAGGTCAACTTGGGGTGTTAACCTCAGGTCAAGGTCAGGTCAGCACCCCCAGGTCACGAAGTTGGTCGAAAGAGGTCATGTCGCATATCATTCGATTCGGCAGGCCTTCCTGAGTCCATAAGTGGCTTTCCCGACTCGCTAGCTCAATTTGATTAAGAGTTATTGACGAAAAACTAATATGACCTTGATGACGTCATAAATGACGTCACGCAAGGTCAACATTGCAAAAGTGACGCATCTAACCTTGCAAGGAGTGCATCAAATCACGATTCTGTGTGCTTGAGATAGTTGGAGATCGTTCCCGGCGCCAGAATAGCAGTTTTCATTTTTCCCCATTGACTTATAATGGTGAGGTCACGAAAATGACCTGACCTCATATGACCTTTAGGAAAAATCCGAGATATACAAGTTGTGGGACTCATAATGGATACTAGATCCTGCTAGTTTCATTTCCCTGCGACATCTCCTCTGGCAGTGAGGGCGTTGCGAAGTTGCGACATCTGAAGACCGTGCAGAGGTTCACTTATGACGTCATAGGTCAGTGACCTGACCTGACCCAAAAATGAGGTTGGTGTCAAAAGATCCGGCTTGGATCAAAGGTCAGGTATGCCAAGTTTCAGCTCTCTATCGCCAGCGTGTTCGGAGCTATCGCGAAAAAACCCTATGGGGGGGCGGCACCCGCCCCCCCCCCCTCGGCCGGCGAGGGTTAACTCCAAGGCCCCTCACGACACCCTTTGAGGGCTCCCACGCTGGCATCTTAGGTCCCCACGATGGGCTTGAGGGCCCTCAAGACTCATGAAGACCTATAAGGGCCCACAACGTTCTCCGAATGCCACCACGGAGGCTTGTTTGGTCGCGCTGGACTCTGGTGGCCCTAACGATGACCTCTGAAGCCCCTCACGACTACTTTTGAGGGCCCTTACGATGGCGTTTAGTGTTTACTGCAGGCTCGAAAGGACTACTGATTCGTTCTGGCAATTCACGTGCCCATTTATGTCACTTATAGTGCAGGGGGCCGGGGGCATCTTACCCAACGCCAGGGGGCGTCTTTCCCACCCTTTGGGGTAAGATGCCCCTTTCAGTTCTTCAAGAAAATGCTTAATAGCAAAAAGATTATCATATTTCAAGCACGAAAGTGATATTTTATGGAGAAAAATGATGTCGGCTTCCGTTGAAACTACAAGTTTTTGCTTCCCGATGGTCATTTTCGAATAATCTATGACATAACAAAACCCTGGGCATCTTTCCCCACTCTCCCCTATCAAATATAACGATTATCAATGTGAGCGAAGGCTGTTTCAGCGGCACCCATTTCGCCGACTACTTTTTGGGTGATTGCCAGGTTGGGCGAAACTTAGGCGAAACACCTCTCCCGTCACGGTGTACCCATTTCTTTACGTTTGCGAGATATAAATGACACATTTAGTGCTGCCGAAATTTCTTACGATTTGAATGTCCGGAGCAGTATGGCAGTATGGCGTCCTGGTCGCCTTCGATCTTCAGGACGCTTACAACATGGTGTCTCTCCCCAAGCTGGCCCATCGTCTCCTCGTCCTCGACACGGACGTGCGGCTGACCAGATGGATCATGGCAGCGCTGCGATCCCGGAGATGCTCCATGAAGTGTGGCAGGTGGATGTCCGACTGGACGGACGTTCCCACCGCACTGCCCCAGGGGTCACCCCTCTCGCCCATCTGCTTCAACGCCTACTTGCAGCCCATCGCCTCCATCATCACGCCTGACAACGCAATCCTTTTGTGCTACGCAGATGTCATCACCATCGTCGCGTGGCACAGGGACATCTCCTCAGCAATCGGCACCGCTCAGGAGGTGGTCAACAATGTGAAGGCCGCATGCGACCATCTCGACATGGTCATCAACCCTCAGAAGGCATCCGTCACTGTCTTTGGGAAGCGCCGCCCCACCCAACCGTTGGAAGCGGTGGTCTACGGGGGTGAGCCCATCTCCTACTCTGATCAAGTAAAGCTGCTGGGCGTGACGCTGGACCCGGCTCTCACCTTTAACGCCCACGCCGACTCAGTGCGCAGCAGATGCGTTCGCGCTCTGTCAACGCTGAAAGCGGCCTACAGCAGGGGAGTTGACTTGAGACGGATCAGTCATCTCTATCGCTCGCTTGTCCTCTCTCGAATCACCTACGGACTCGAGATCATCAATCCGCTGAAGACAACGATGGACAAGCTCGAGCGGATCCAGAACAGCGCTCTCCGACTCGCCACCGGGTGCCCCAGACAGACGCCGGTCACTGCGCTGAGGTACAT